AAAATGCAAGACTGGCAAATATAATGTATTAAAATACTTTAATCTTAGATTAAATTTAATTGTCTCCAAGTAATTTAATTGATCTATATCCTCTGTATTGTCTATTTAGGGCGTGCCATAACCGGCTTCGTGCCATGACGTCCCGAGTTCCGTACCAGGTCATGTAATCTGCAAATAGTGCCCGGAAAATTGACGTTAGGGCACGCTTCCTTCGATACATTTTATTTTGCAGTAACTTTATTGCAATGTATTTCGGAATGAAACAAAATACGTTGTCCAGTTGTACAGCCGGAACCCTGAAATGTGTGTCTCTGCAGTCTTCAACATTATCATGTGCTCTGTTTCAATGAAACGTTTATTAGTATTGTGACGTGTATGAGTGACTACAGATGGGGTTTGGATTGGTGAATACATTTACTGAGCGCTTACACGTCCAACTACAAACAGCTGCAACGTTATCGCTGACTTCCACACTTCAGAAATCACTACACCATAAGTTCTTTCAGTTTGCTTTTACCAGTCGTTTCCTGGAAGCGAATCTTAACAATAAAGGTTCTCCAGCCTCTGTCCGGCGAATATTCCGCGAATGAACTGAACTGAGTCAAAGTAAATGTCAAAGTCAAAATTACTTTACGAGTGGCGGCTTGCGGCCAATCAGTTCATCTTGACGTCAAGCCCCTTGAGACACACGACCAGAGATTTCTTCTGTTGAGCCCTTGCGGTAATAGTCCCTATGTAACATCCTCTCTGACGAGAAGATGGGCTTGTCTCTTATGAATATGCTTGGCCTTTCGTCAAGTGTACGTACCGCACATACAGCGTGTTATTGGAAATACTGCACTGCATACAAGCCCTCTGTCAGTACAGGCTTTGCAGAGCAGATCATGCCTATCTTACGTATCTTATGCTACAACGGTAGCCTAGTCACTTGAACGGTCGTAAGCTTTACCGCTACCAAGTTCAAGCCTATTATATTTTCAATGTCTGGCTTCGCGAACATGTTCATTCCCATGATTTTGTATGATTTCTGCTCGTTACCTGCACAATTTTGTTATATAATAGTATCCACATGGAAGGTTGAAAGCCGTGGGCATCTCGCGGACTGGTGTGCACCTTGGAAAATTTCCAGTTGGTGCACAGAACCTTGTTTTGTAGGCGCTGCAATTTCAAGAGGCCGGTGTCTGCCGCTAATTCATAGGCGGGGCAAGCATAAGTCATTACTGATCTGATCAGTGCCTTGTGGAGGGTTAGTTTAATGCTGGCGCTTAAAAGCTCACTTTTGAACAGGGAACAGATTCTAATAAATGTTCTGAAGGATTTGGCTTCAATTCTTCCTGAGTCTGAGTCTTATCTTACGACCGACGGTCAGTCGGCCAGTCTGTCTTGGAATAAAGCACCCATTTGGGGCTTACGACCAGATTTCTGTTAATGTCAGACAGCTGCGGGCTTGTTGATGTGGGGCGCAGTCTTTAACGGGAGGACGGGTCTGTCGTTTATAATTCCTGCTGTCCCTCGCCAGCGCAGTCATTCTCGGGTCCGAGTTCCGTGGGATTCGCGACCATATTTTACTGTCTCAGATTCGAGACTCTCCATTTCGTCACCTCCAACGACTCGCATGGTCACGGTGGAGGTATTCGACCCCACCTCCACACGGGATTCAATCATTTCTATACCTTGGGTTCTCGCTATATAGCCTCGAGGCGGATGCAACAGAAAACACCGACTCAATCAATTTTTCTATTGTTATTATGTGCGGTTGCCGCGCGATAGCCCGATAGCTTTGATGTGTTTACCGACCGTTACCAAGCAACTCATGTTTCATCTCGCGATTGTTGCATAGCAACAGTACTACACATTTCAGTGCGAAGGATTCCCAACTCTGTGATAAGCTTCAAAATCCCGTGATAACGGCATCTCAGTTTCCTATCTCCGAGGCGCTTCAGTAAGAAGTGAATTATGCTCAAGCAGTGCATGGCTGTGATTGCAGCAAGGGCTCACGTGTTATTTACGAGAGTTATATGAAATATCGAACAAACTTAGGACTGCAGTATGGTGATGTAGGAGTCTCCACACTCTGAACACCCTCTAAATGTCTTCTTCAAAATCTAGAAGCTAGAGAAGGCGGATAATGTGTGCGCGTCTGCTAACACACTAGGTTCAAACCCCTGCAGAAAACTTAGCCGGAAACAGTGACACTCTTGCTGCACGTAGCGAGGGTGAGTAAACAAGTAACAAGACATAACGTTACGCGGGTTAACGATTAACGAACACAAATGCAAAATCGGTAAGTGCAACACAAGGAAAGTAGTTACAATAGGCACCTAAGAACAGACTCATGAAGGCCCAATATTATTAAATAGTACGACCACTTCAAAACAAAGAGCCGAAGTGTTTACTGGTCTTGAATAAGAAGAGGAAACTGACGTACACTGATGTTATTTAAATACTGATATCTGTGTGTCTCTCTATGTATGGCTCTACAGCCCTTTGTGGGACCCCTGCCGCCTTTTCAGTTTCTTGACCTTTTTACATTGTCGGGAATGTTCTTTGGACTGGGGATCAGCCCATCGCAAGGCCGCTACCTGCGCACAGGACAGGGCAAACAGAATAAACGCACACAGACATCCATGGCTGAAGTTGGATTCGAACCCGAGATCCCAGTGTTTGAGCGGGAGAAGACGTTTCGTGCGTGAGACCGCGCGGCTAGCTAATGATACAGTAAGATAAGCGTTTCTGTGGGTAGCCTGCTCGCTGCTAAGGAACAAGAGTACATTTAGGTAGAGCTTGCAGAAAAGCAACGCACAAGCAAAATACAAGAAAGAAATGAACTTGAGTTACAACAAATAAAATCGTCCTAGGGCACTCCAATTGGGCCGATCAGGTGTGTAAGCTCACCCTTGCCTTGTATCAGAGAAGGAATCATTCCCTCGACATGAAATAAACCGAACTCACGTATGTACGTACTTACATACACCCGGCAGCAGTTCGGCAATCGGTTCTCCCCCCTGACTTGGCTGACACACGTGAAGCAATACAACCGAAACGTCGCGGCACTGAGCTTCCGTCTGTCCACGCCATCAGAGACCGTGATGGTAGCCAAGCATTACTGCCTCTGCAGAAGTTTAGGGCTCCAGGGGTGGGGGCAACAGGCTCAACGCATCTCAAGTCAGGTCACGTCATCACAAAGGACCCCCCACCCCTGGAACCCTAAACTTCTGCAGAGGCAGTAATGCATCCCCCTCAAAGGGCGTAGGAGCTAGGCTGGCTGAGTTAAGTAAGTCGGACAGTCAAACGTCCCACTAAGGTCGTAAGTCAGATGCCCTTAGACTAAAATCTCTCCGCACATGCCAGGGTCACGTGGTAGTGCACTTGGTTCAGGAACTATGCTACAAACCGGAAGGTCGCGGGTTCAATTCCCGGTGAGGTGGATTTTCTCAATTGACCTAATCCTTCCAGCCGTTCTATGGCCCTGGGTTCGTCAACTCAGCCCCTAACAGAAATGAGTATCAGGAATCTTCCTGGGGGTAAGGGGGCCCATACACGTACGAGTCTGGCTCGAGAGTACGACTCGGCTTGGGTTCCAATTAGCCAGACTCGTCTGTGTGTGGGTCGCCACGCTCATACGTATGTGGTGAAATTAATCCGAGTCCGGCTCCTCGCCGAGCCGGGCTCGGAAGCAAGACTCGTATGTGTATGGGCCACCTAAAGGGCAGTCGGCCGGCGCGTCAGGCTGACAACCTTACCGCCATCTGTGAGCAGATTGTCTAGAAGATGTGGGAGCCTCGACGTCTCACACCCTTATGGGCCTCCACGGCCTGTTACAGAGATACCTTTGCCATTTTACCGCTCCGTGTGTGTCTCCAGCTAGTCACAGTGACGTTTCGCAACAAAACAGTGCGATCGTTTGCGATTTGTAATGCCGTTAGTCGCCTCTGCTGTACCAGCATATAAACATGGACACACGGCGTGAAGCTACAGTGACCCGGCAGCGGTGAATCCCCTGTCAGTTCTTTCCGAGAAGCCTGACATACAGCGTCGGTGCTGAAATATGTTCTTTGGTTTCGGTGATGCGGAATTGTTCCCCGATTCTCTTTGACCTGTGTTCCGTGGAATTGCTGCAGAATTACCGCTGGTCCGACCTAATTATTTCCGCATACAAAACTGCAGCAGGAGCAGCGGTGATAATGTTTTGTTTTATTTTCAAACTAATTAAAACTGAAACGAGAATTGCACCTACCAATATCCCTCCGCCGATATATAATTGCAGCCTGATTGAGTGGCTGTGACAGAGGCTGGTTGATTTCATAAATAAATTCATGTTAATAAAAAATGGATAGTACTGGTCTGGTTGAATGGGATGGGTGCAGAAGGGCTCATTGGGGGGGGGCGCTGAATGTTGTGTTATTCTTTCCCCGGTCACTCATTAAAGTTGTTAATTAAAATTGCATGAGCATGAAGCCCGCTGTTTCATGTCGTCAAATGGGCCTACATTTGATGCACCGGTGACAACCACTCGCCAACATCCGGCCATTTTGCCTGCTTTCAAAATCTGTATGCACCGAATATTATAATCATTTCATTGCCATAGCCCTGTTATTTTCTGACACCCATTTCTGAGTCGACCTGAGGCCATATGCGGGTGCAAGAATTTGGTTCAATTGAAAAATCTAATGACCTCATTGGGAATCTAGCCCACGACCTTCTGGCTTGTAGCATAGTGTCTCAACCGACTGCGCCACCGGGAATCTTCCCTACCCGAGCTTAAGGCTGGCAACCTCACCGCCATCTGTGAGCCGACTGTCTAGAAAATGTGGGAGCCTCGACGTCTCATTACCGTATGGGCCTCCACGGCCTGTTATAGATTTTCGGTAACTTAGGTTATATCCTACAGCGCCCTCTAGCAAAATGATTAATGGATGATGAATTGAATATGATGTAACAGGAAGTGGTAGAGGCCTATTTCAAGATACTAACGTGTTAATTGTTGCTATGTCTCGCAGGTCTGGTTCAAGAACCGGAGGGCAAAATGGCGGAAACAGAAAAGAGAGGAGCAAGAGCGGATCCGGAAGTTGCAAGAGGAACACGCAAGCAGGAAACCGGCGGAAGGCTGCAGTATGGACCCGGATGTTACGTCACATCTGCGCCGACTGAGCGAAGCAGACGAGTCATCTGATCTGGAAGTTGCGTAATGCTATTGCAGTTCGCTTTGGAGCAGCGTCAGTTCACAGACTGAGCTCAAACCGTTCGTCTGGCATTCAATTTCCTCTGTTTAAGATTCCCAAACAAACTTTATCCTGGATTTAACAATAAATACTTAAAGAAATCAGTGAAAATTTTCCGTACGTTTAGTGTCGACTTTGTAAATTGTTTCGACTTTTTTCTTTTGCGACATAGAATCATCCTAAATACACAGGGACGGACAGACGACTTTTGGCCCTCACAAGTAATACAACGAGTTAAATACAACGTGTCTTGTTATCAAGGTTAAGTATGCAGTAGTTTCAGAATAGTTAGTTCTTATTATACAGTGGAGCCCATGTGAAACTAAATTATTTAAAATCTGTATCATGGAGCCTCGCAAAACACTTTATATGTATCCCATAATAATGTTACCACATGTGCTCCAGTTTTCCCACTCTGTTTACAGCAGGTTAATAGCGGAAACTAAAATAGTTAAGAACAGCACAGAAAGTTCTTCACTCTGTTCTTATGCATGCTTTTCTGCTATGAACGCAGTTCATTGGTTGTATTGCTTCTGCTCTACACCGTGTCAATGTGAACAGCGTTGCCAACGTTTCGGAGGTACATGCCGCCTCTGTATTCAGGAATGAAGTGAGAAAGATGATCGAGTCTTCGTATGTCAACAGAGTGAAAGGGGCAGGGTGGAAACTGTTGTGCAGTCAAGTCCGGTTTCTCGTGACTTATAGACGGATTCTGGATTCGTTCATTGGATTTGACATTTTATGCACAGTACTCAGAACTACACACTCTACAGGTCACCGCTGCACACGCACTAGGATTCCCAGCTGTCACTAGTCGTATCCTGGCAAGGGATTTATAACAAACTATCACTTCAGATCACATACCTAATTCCTTTCTTGTCATCATTCTGCAACTGCCAACTCAGTTCAGTTCATCTGCACCTCAGCTTATATCCTGGCAGACTGGCGTCTCGAAACTCGAATAATTCTTTTCAACTGACCTGTTCTTTATAACCACTTTGCACAGACCACGCAGAAAACTCAACCTCTCTATTTTTGAGAAGGGGTATTTACGACGATGTTGCATAGCGACGGGAAGTAAATCGATCGTTGCTTGTGCATTCGTTGTTGTCGCGGAAATATGTTTTTGCCGAGTCGTTGCCTAGAAATGGACGTCTATTCTGACTTCCCTGTTTCGGTTTTCGGGCATCATGTCACATTATATTGTTTTACAACTACATAAGTTCTTTATATACAAGAATTACGTTCAATAGTTTGTGAGAAAATAATCAATTCTGCAGCAATTCAACCCCCAGATCTTAGCACAAACGACGCAAATACATTTAAAAAAATCTTTATAAATTTCTTAAGATGCTTTATTTATTGGTATGATATTTTATATTAGCCATAAAATTATGTATGTGTTCCATAGTTAGCTCTGACAATTCATCATAGACGGTTTTCTTACGAATGACCCGCGGAATATTGTTAAAATTGTCAAATTAAAGACCAAATTTCGTAGCACGAAATAAAATAGGGTTTATGTCACGAAATTTGGTAGGTTCGCTCTCTAATGAAACTACTGCACATTGTAATTATAAAGTTTATCTTGATTGAATAACCGAATGTTAAAAAAAACTTCTTTATGTGCAAACTTAATACATTCTAGCATGCATTCTTTTAAGAGAAATACAAGAGTGTATTAAAAATCACTGAAGGTTTTGTTATTAAAGAAGTACGTTCATTTCTTCCGTTAGAGAAATAAGCAGTTGCGGAGCTAGGGCAAGGTAAATATTTCAGTGCTCTCTGGTCCAGATGGTGGCTGGAGCACAGACCACATTCGAACAACTCATGAAAACATCCGTCACTGCACATCTTCAGCATTAGCAGAAACAGGCATTTGTTACATGCAAATAAAACCGTAACTGTTACAGCAACTGCTAATCGAAGTTTTTCCATGGTTGTACAATCTGTAGAATGGATCAGTTGATATTTGTTCTCGGCTCAACAGTTGATAGTTCCAACCTCTAAAACTGCAGCTACTGAAGCTTGTAAAATGTAGTGAAGTCATTATGCCTAGACACTGTACACTCTATTTATAACTGAAATTGAAATGACTATACCGAGGTTACGGGAAGGAATCCCATGAGTAGTGGGGATGGCGCCCCTCGAGGCTAACACCTCTCTGCCTATTGTCGTATTCCCCTCCAGCCTCTCCTGTCCTCTGTCAGTCAGCCCACAGCGTTTCCCGCTAGAGAAGGTATACGCATCAATGACTAGAGGTTGGAGGGGAACATAAGGAAGCGCCATGGAGGGGGAAGTATAACAGGTGTAGTGTGATGTGGAGGGGGTCGGTCAATGGGACAGCTTTCCGTGGTCTCAGTATAGTTTAAATATCCTGAAGTTTATTTTACAATTTCTGAAAAGCTGGAGTAACTGAAGTTAGAACAAGTGATCTTTTGTAGACGGTTGCAGCTTGTTGTGTTTATTACTGTATTAGTACTTGTACAGATAATGGAAAGTCATTAGTCTTATCTGAAGTGTGCTGAGGGTGTAACTACTGGACGTTATGAACAATTGTGTACGATGCGACATTCTTGAAACGCTGGACCTGAACTGACAGCGGATTGTGTAATTATAGAGAAGTTATGAAGGTTGCATATACGTGAATAAACCGTGTTTATAGCCCTACATGCTGATGAAGAGGCAAATTCGTCACAGTCGCTTAATGCTTGAAATATTACTGCAGAAAGGAAATAACTCTTAAGCGAAAATTTAATAATGGACCCTTTAGAGCACAGTGGTTACTTTAAGTACCACCAGGTTTAATAACAAGAAAAATTTAGCATTTTGTCCATTGAGTGTAATCATATTTTACGTAAGTTTCTGTGATTATTTCTTAATAAGCATTAAGAATTTTGCCTTTGTTATGGAGACGCAGAAACTGAACGTTTAGAAAAATACGTTTAGAAAACTTGTTAACGTTACTCCTTCCGAACTGAATTATCTCTCAGTTCTCCCATGATTTTCCCTAGTGATTTATTTTCCTTCTATTGTTCTCTAACCTCCCTCTCAGACAACTGTCAAATATTACCTAGCGTGTATTAATAGATTTTTCTCTGAAAAAAAAAGGCCTTGTGAGCACTGCTTAGTCCCTGAGAAGGACCCATGGAGGCCATTTGCTGATTTAGGGACCACGAACAAAAGTGATACAGTCTCTTGGAAGACGATGCGGTGTTTTGTGACAAATTCTATGTCCGGCTCTACCGATAACAACAGAAAGTCTCTGTATCAACGTCTGTCTGTCCAACTGTTCTACTCCCATTTACTTCCAAGCAATTATGACATTAGGAAGAGGATGGAAATGTTTCTATGAGCATACAATTACTGGAGAAGGAAAGAGACCACTAGGAAGACAAAGACATAGGTTGTGAATAATATTTAAATGGATCCTAGCGAAATAGGATGAGGTGGTATGGACTGAATTGATCTGGCTCAGGATAGGGACCGGTGGAGTGCTCCTGTGAACACGGTGATGAACCTTCGGGTTCCATAAAATGCTGGGAAGTTCTTGAGTAGCTGCACAACTGGATGCTTCTGAAGAAGGGCTCAGCTCCATGAAGTTAGTTAAATGTATACAGAAGTAAGCACTGTTTTATTTATCCCGTAAATGTCTGTTCGTGGACGCGTGCCTACAATTTGACTGCCTGTAATTTCAAGAAAAATTCCTTCAACTCATTGAATTAAAAACTCTGATAACAAATATATTCCCTTCGCCAGCAGTTCCACCTGTAATCGTGAGGAAAGAACGGTTAAAAATAGCAGAACTCCTGTTTTATCTACTTGATCTACTTTATCTACTTTTATTTACTTGATTTCTTTTTGAGTTTCCTATCAACTCTTTTCTCTTTTCTTAATGTCTCCCAGCACTTGGCTAAACCATCTTATTCTTGGTCGACCCATTTGTCTATTTCATTTAAATATAAATTATAATATTTTTCTCGGTCTTCTCCTACGTCTTCTCGTTTCCTGACATTTCCCAAACCCACTCATCTAGAAAGGGGGAGAATTTTTGGAGTAAATAATTTCCAGTAGAGTAGTGTGACGCAATTACATAAGACAGCCCCATGAGATGTATGTATCAGATCTTCCTTTCTTGTGTGAGGCAACCAGAGGATCTCCAGGCTCCTGTGTTCTCAAGCGCAGTGCTCGCTATCGGAGAACTTGAGATATCTCAAAGCTAGAGATGTGACTACAGCCAGATCACGGTAATTCGGAGCTGCATCTTCACTTCGAGATATCGACGATCTTGTTAACGTAAATCGATTTTCATGTTCCGTCTTGTGACCTTGTCTCCTTACTCTGCATGTGTGTATAGCCTGTATATAGTTTATAATGGAAGGAGTTCAGTCACTCTTTGTGTAATAATCTATTACGAAAAATGTTCCAACAAACAGATAAACTAAATGTCTATACCTTCCTCTGAACTGATGTTATATTCTTCTTTAAAAGTGATATATGTAAGTCAACAGTGTTAATATAAATACATGTTTGATTTGTTACTGTAAACTGAATAATTATTTCATCAATTAAAACAACAAACCTACTAACTTTCTTGATTATGTACGTATATTACAATTTTAGTACCACGGTAAGTTTACAATTTGAAGTTAAACCTCATTACGGATTATGGAGCAATTAGTAACCTATGTAAAAATATATGAAATAATTTCGGAACACACTTCACGCGCATGCAGACACAAAGCCCAGGCTTTTAGCAGATCGGCGGAGAAGTACACAAGGTGCAAGTGTCGAGCATAGCCAGACTAAGTACAGGCGTCGGCGTCGGCGTCGGCGTCGAAGTACATGAAGTGCCAAGAGTCGCTCAGAACGGCGCTAAAGCACTTAGAGTGCCAACGTCCATCACATATCGACGGTAAAATCACAAAGAGTCAGCATTTGTGGTATCATCGCTAAATAAATAAAACATCAACGTCAGTCTACATGCATACAAAATGGAAGCATCAATACTGCAAATGGCAAATAGGCAAAGGGTCAACGGCCACGAGATCAACGATAAAATACGTAAAGTGCCACAAACGATTATTTCGATGATAAAATTAATATGCATACAGGATGTCCCAGGCGGAAATGTCAATATTCTGGGAGGCATAGAATTACACTAGGTAAACTGTACAAACTTTGTCACTTTAACAATAAATACCGAAACTGTACAGTGAAATAGCTCTATCTCGGAAACCGTTCGGAATAAGACACAAATACATACACACTCTTTGCTTAGAATGACCGATACTACGACCTTTAAA